TAACCGCCCCACTGTTTCCAGGAAACACTCACCGAATTTCCTTGTGATTCTTTTTATGAATATCTTCTAAACGAATTAAATGAGGAAATCTACTCGAAGCTCAAACTTTGAAAACGCTCTTTTAGTAATATGACATCAATTGGGGCAAAGCCCAGAAAGCTTCAACGACTCATGTGTTGTGACGTGGCACTGCTGCACTTGATTCATTGGTATTCAGAGTGCTGTACTGGACTACAGCGTGCGTGCACGTTCAGATAAACAAAAACTGATCTTGCCGTCAGTAAAACTTGCATAGCTGCTATGATACGAACGCAAATCAAAAGCACTTCAAGGTACTTCTCTGAATTTGAACTAAAGATGACAGTGTGAGCGAAGAATTTCTATCACAATTGCTTGTAAATATTATATAACATCGAAAAAATAATATTCGCTGAAAAACATTTCCATTTTGGAAATAAAACATAAAAGTAATAATAACTTACGTAATGATCGTAATGATAAAATACGCTTTTGACAAAGTCCAGAAGCAGAGAAACCCAACACGATAAAGAGCAGTAATGTAGTTTTCACTGCATTCATCGTTGACGATGTTCTATTTCCAAACTCAGCTGCTTTAATCCCAGAGCGTGCTGCAATTGTGCGCAATGTTTAGCGGTGAATCTGATTTTATGTGGTTTGATTTTGCAGTGCCACGCCTCCTGTTGTAGACATTTGGAGCTGCCTCTACCTAATCAGACATCCATTGATCTTCACTTCAATAGAACTGTAAATTATTTTGTTGAAAGAAAGTAATCTAGGATCTCATCAGCATTATGAACATTGACTATTGTTCAGGATTCTGAGATTTTTTGAAGTGCTATTAATTTTCWTGGACRGACAACAAAGTAAAACGCTGAAAAATGCATTCATCAGATGTGCACATCTCGAAGGAGTTTTTCATTCAGAAAACCAAATACAAAACGGTGCGAGTACAGTCTAACAGTCTACGGATTGTTAACTTTCTGGSCTCTTTACATGCARACCCGGTGCCCTATAGGCTTTCAGCTATTGAGGACACCTTGTAACCTGTTGTAATGTTAATTGAAATTAATGAACTTGAATCTTAACTTGAAATAAAATTACTGCATTTAGTTCCATTTGTAAAAGCTCTTAATCAGTCTTTTTTGCAAATGGGTTTTTCTTTGAAGAATGAGACTTAGTCTAGTATAAATTATCTCCAAAACTTTTGATAGTTGTAATTTTAAAACAGATATAATGATCTAGTGTTAATCATACCTCGTGGTTTRAGTCTTTGTCTAAAATCTTGTGAAGTACTTTCAATTTCAAGTAAGTAAAAAGAAACTTAGATCGTCGCCCGCTCGTTAGAGGTTCTCACCCAGAAAGTGTGAGAAACCCTAATCAGTATTTKTTGATGTGGCCATGCGGTCGTCTAACTAGTTCATGCAAGGGCACGGAATATTCCAAGCTACAATCCAAGACAAAATTAAATGGGACAGAGCGCTATTACTGCGCTCTAGCAGATKTACCGCTCTTATGGGCTGTTTTAATCCTCACTCAAACCCTCCCCCCTACCCCCACAGTCAATAGTTAACAATGTTGTTGGCGGTAATTTGTTGGCGGGTAWGTTTCGGTATGAAAGGAGGGTTTGTTTGGAGTCCAAGATTGTAAAATGCGGGGGCCACGGGGGGAAGAATTGTCTGTAAGTTTGAGTAGACATACATTTTGTCTGTCCATGAATGTAGATTGCGTATAAGACTATTTTAAACGTATARMAACAGACACAACTACCAGTCTAGAATAAAATCAGATGAACAAAGAACACTGTCAGTATTTGTAAATGTTTCATCRCATAGATAACAATATAATGATGCATTCAATCCAATATAACATTATCCACTTTTCAGGAATTTTAAAATGACAACAGCAAAGTCGTTTTCATAAATAGGTTGTAAATAATCGCAGGAAGAAATGCATTTTGTAACACATATATCGCTTTCTGATTGGTCGAGACAGTCGCTACTTTGCTTTTGATTAACTGAGACTTTAAAGAAAARCAACGGACTTTCCCGACAGCAGAAGTACATAACCAGAAGTGTCCATCTCGCTAATAATCACATCACCATCAGACACGGTACCGATGATCTATTTTTAGACAACCAATCACAACACTTGCGCATATATCACGGCACCAGCTGATTGGTCATTGTTGATCTACTTCATGACAAGAGACATGCAAATAAAATCTTCTCTTTTTTTCTTTTTTTCTTTTTTTCTTTGAAAGTAAGTGTAGTTTTTTTATTTATTTTCGTTTTCTTCTCTATCGCATTTAATGATATTTTCCCCTCTTTTTTATGTTTTAGAAACTATTTATTGTGGTTTACCCAATTATCATCCTTCTAATAGTCGACCTTATAGTCTTACTGCGAGTGCGCACTAGCAAGACTAGCAACAAAATGACAACAGTTGATGATACAACATCTTTATTGTTTATATTCTAAGATTGCAGTCTTTTTGCTTCTTCATCAGACTGATTTCGAATCAAACTCAGCAAAGAAACCTGGAAGGAAAAAAAACGCAATCACTTTTTACATATCAAAGAATTGTATGTCATGYCTGCGGGATCCCTGTSCATTTTAGYTTCGRGCTTTTTTAGCGAATCCATGCTGTATATGGAAACAAACAAAATGGCYGATTATTCGGAAGTGTTTCTTATTYTTTTAGACGATTTTATTATRTTTTACAKCAAGAKTTAAACTTGGCCAATGYCATACATGCGATATATTGTGTTGTTTTTCAGATGTAAGTCCTTTGAGTCTTCGTTTCCATTAATCSCACTAGCCCCCTGATAGTGACGGTCGTAAACTACCGCCAWCTTTGAAACTCGTGTATAGCTTGTAGGTGATTCATACATGTATACAGAGAATTGCTCACATAGGCCTGTGGCGATATGGATGTTATCTTCTCGTGTTGAAAACACTGAGATACTCTTAACACGAGAAGATAGAATCCGTATCATTTTGTTTGCTTTTTTATGTTCAGAAGTGTTAAAGAGAATTACAAAACTATAAACGTTTTTACATTRAAAAGTTGACTAAAACTCAGGAATTTGAAACATTGTGGATTTTTGCTATGCTTCATATCTTTTTTGGAAAAATACATCGAAGAAGAAAAAGGTTTAATTTTGTTGGCAATTACCTTTAAACGGGGAAAGGCCAGGGAACGTTCACAGTCTTGCGTGTTTCTCCGTTGACGTTGGCCGCTACGCAGACGTAATCCAGTCTTGCGTTTTCTGGAGTGACATCCAATAAATGAAGACGAGAGCCAACGAGTTTTCCGCCAGCATCTCGAATCTCTTCAAACTTAGGCTTAGCAAGGAAGTCGTCTTAAAAAGAGTAGAAATAGAAACAATTGCGAAAAAATTAACAATGATAATATTTTGCACTCTTTTCCGAAGGTATAATTTTCTATAGCGTGAGATATCTAATTTTATGCGGCCATACATTCTGTTTTTCTGATTTCGTGCGATTACCTGGTATATTGTCCTTGTTGATGATCTTCCATTGCACAGACACAAGGTTGTAGCTGTTGACTTTAATATTACACTCTAAAGTGTCTTTGTCTACGTTAATACGCCATTTTTCTGGTTTCTTGATTGAACTTATCTCCAGCAAACCTTTGAAACATTTGGAGAAGGAAATTTAATGTTGGGATTCCACTGTTTCAGAGTGACTATGCCACTTTCAATCGAAACGGGGACCGCAGAGTGTGAATTTGTTGCGAGGAGGTACTAGGGGGGTTCGGAAATTTTTGAAATCTTAACTCTCGGAAATGTCATTTCCTGCGTTTTGAGGCGTTATAGACAATTTTACAACACACACGGTCAGCGGTATTATCAATCCCAAAGACCTCGCAAAAAAGGTTCAATTTCAATTGTTCACGCTTTTTACAGTTTTTACACAATTTTTATAGAATATATATGGTGAAATTTCATAAGGAGGCTCTTCGCTTCTTTATTTGAGAAAATTCAAATGCTCCGCGGTTCATGMGAAAGCCATCTAACTTAGAATTGTCCGTTTGAAAATGCGTTTCAGTCCTGAAATACATTTATTATAATACATATAGTGTTCGTCATCCCTTCCAAATCGATSGTTTTCAATCAATCATTCCCATGAGATTCAAATGRTTAAAGCCCGGCGTCCATGTTGGTTCATGGAGCAATAGATACTAWCGCGAAATTTGTGACAGTTCCTCCATGCAATATGGCCGATGTGACGTATAACGAAAATGAATAATTTGTCGCTGGTATACTATGGCATTTGTTTCTAATACTCCAGTTTCGAGATTTATTTGTTTAGCCTTAACCTTGAAAGCATGTAATATATYCTTTTATTCAGCAGAGATCCTATTGTAATGCTAACACTATGTGYACAAAGAAGACAATGAATATTTWTGCTTGATTGCWTTTAAGGTTGCACAATAGAGAATTCGAAAGTGGAGTATTGTGTGAATCCCTACCATTTTGTCCCTGGCTTGGTGGTTTCACATCTGTTGAAATTAACAAAATCCAATAAGAAATCTATCCAATTAACAARAAAGCAGTTTTTGAAATGTTCCTGAGCATAGCTGCCTAGAGCCTCTTGTGGGTGGGAATAATCTACAATTGAGCGCAAACATTATAAAGATCTTTGTGCACATTATAAATTGAAAACACAATTTTTTCCTCATCGCATACCTTGACATGAAGTTGCTCCAAGCTTTGTGTTTGTAAACTTGTTTTGTGGGCAAACGGCGCATTTAGTTTGGCCGGA